TCATTTTGAACAGCGTCCCCGCAAGCTTGTCAAGTCCAGGGCTGTCGTTGAGGACAAGGATGACGAGGTCGAGATTGTCCCCGGCCCCTCGGATACCGACGTTATGATGGGTGGGTGTGATGGCCCCAACGCTATCACTGCAGCTGACACCGTGCGTTATTTTTTATTTTCTTTTGAGCAGAACACAATTTTAACATTGCGTACCGCTTTGCTCAGATGGCAGTGGACAACCTCTTTGGTGACGAAGAAGTCAAGGACGCCGCTTCCTCTCCCAAAGAGAAAGGCAAGAAGCGCGCTGCCTCTGGTCCCAAGGTAAGCTGCTATTATTGCGTGAGTCCACTGCCACGTTGTTAACTTCATATTCTATTCGGACATAACAGACCCCAGCCAAATCCAAGCGTGCCGAAACGGTCAGCATTCCCTACGACGCTGTTCCAGGCATGGACACTAACAGTCGCGAATTTCACAAGGCCCTCGTCGTCGAGCATGCCAAAGGCAGTTGCGCTGGCGACAAACGCCCTCGTACTGAACCGCCCTTTATTAGTGGTTTAGCAGATCTTCAGTCTCGTCAAAGTTCGTATTTATCTTTTATCTTCATAAATCGTAAACTAACGCACTCATCCTTTGTTATAGACGAGTCTGCCAACTCCTTGCTCATCGACAACCCTCTGTACAGGGAGATCTTAGTGCGCGCACATGCTGCTGTTACCAACCGCATGCCGGCTTATCCCACCCTTGCTTATTTCAAGCAGCAAGAGGTCGATCTTCGTGAACGCGTTCTTCTTAGCATGCAGCGCCTCGACTTGGAGCTTCGTCTTCGCGATGTACTTGTCGCTGATTACGAAATTGCCCTTGCCCAGATTGCTGAGCGTGAAGTAACTAAGGAGTAGTAGAACTATCTGAACTTTTTGTAGACGGACACCTAGAGCCCGCATGTATAGTTGACTATGCATGGAAAATCTAGAAGGCGCTTGCGCATTATGTTTATAAACTGCTGGAGGTTTTTATTAAACTTTTTAGCCAATTTTAAAGCATAAGTCTACTAAGCCTCTTCTTCACTTAAATCTTCGATTTCTTCTAAGTCCCCGGATTCATCTGCGGAAGACCCATCAAGATTAACTCCTTCAAAGTAGTAATCTCTTGCGTTAGGTCTTTCTTCAACGCCTGTGTTTTCGATTTCATCCAGTTCCTCATTGCTTGCATCAATAAGTGTACTGAAGTGCTCAGGTAAGTCGATCCTTTCTCTTGCGAAATACGGAATGACTCTGAACGCTCCAATTTTATTGTGATTGACTGATCCGTCCAGTTCACAAACTATATATGAACCTCCCTTTGTTCGACGTACCACAATCATAGGTCCCAGGTATCTTGGTTGCATTTTACTATTTAATGACGAGGATACTTGTGAATTTCTGATAAGCACCAGGTCTCCGGGTTTATACATTCGACCACTGATTTTATGGCGGTGGCTTAGTTCATATTTTGCCACTCTTTTCACTTTTTCTAAGGTGACCCTCTCGCGCATTTCCGCCACATGCTGCCTGTGTTTTGCTAATGCTTTGGCTCTATAGCCAATCAATTCTGCAGTGGACAACATACGATCTGGTAATTTTACTAACCAGGTAGCCTCCTGTACGTCGAGAGGTAATATTGGATGTGCGCCTGTCACCATAAAGAACGGCGAACAACCAAATCTTTTCTAATCGG